CCCAATATAGCCACAAAGATCAAAATGGAAGAAACAAGTTATCACTCACATAGGACTAGTCACCATTTCCCAGACAATGCAACCTTGCAAACTTTCTTTTACTTACCTTTTGTGCCATTCTTTTTTGTTTTAGTGTACTGGCTATGAGTCTAACCTAGTGTTTAACTGAAGTCATGATAGCAGGCAGTCCTTTCTCATGCCAATCTCAGAAGGGAAATTTTCACCATGTATGTTTGTTGTAGGATTTTTTTTTAAAGATATTCTATTAGGTTAAGAAAGTTTCCTTCTTTCAGGTATATGTCTTACATTAACATACAAACAAAATTAAAAAGTTTCCTTCTATTCCTAGCTTATTATGTTCTGGCATATGAACTTTTATTAAATTTTTTTTTTTTATTGGTTATCATGACTTATCTGTTAACGTGGTGAGTTAACATTGGCCAAAACCAGCAGCTTTGCTATCAAACTTTTTTGCGGCTCTCATCACAATGACTGTAAAAACCTAACAGTTCAGTACAGGGGATTTAAATTTTTAGAAATTACTGGGCAGTTTTCTCTGCAGCTATGGAATGTATAGAAAACATATAGACATAATTGCATACATAAGCTGGACTTGGTTTTAATTTAAAACATTTCCATTGTAGGTATCACCATCTTCTCTGTTGGTGTGGCGTGGGCACCTCTGGATGACCTGAAAGATATGGCCTCCAAACCAAAGGAGTCACATGCTTTCTTCACAAGAGAATTCACAGGATTAGAACCCATTGTTTCTGATATCATTAGAGGCATTTGTAGAGATTTCTTAGAATCCCAGCAATAATGGTGACGTTTTGACAACTGAATGAAGTATAAGGAGATCTAATGTGTAAACTGTATTCTCATAATAATGAAATGGCATACTGGGATCAGATACAAAACTATTAAATATTGCAGCAGCTGTTTTAAGCAAATAAGCATTCCTTGAAAGCTACTACATTCTGATTACAATTTACAGTATACTTTCATTAATCAAAACACTTAGCTGAGGCTTCATAATCATGGCCCTTAGAAACTCAGGAAAGAGGAGATACCTTGGATTAAAACCGTAAGAGTTCTAACATGCCTATTAAATGTATAGATATGCAGATTCCATAGCTCAATAAAATAATTTGATACTTAGACCAAAAGCAACATTCCTTCTCTAATCATTCTGTATTGACTATATAACAAGAAGAGAAGCTTAAGTGGAAAACAGCTCTTTAACATAGTTCAATATAAATATTTTGGCCCAAGTGGATGTTTTTTTTAAAACCCCATCAACAATAGCTATTACTTCACATACTAAAGTACAGATGATATGGGATCGTGTATCAAGCTTATTTTGTAGTATATTTTCATAACTTATGACTAAAAGTATGACACTGAACGAGATAACAGGATTGCCTGGTATTTTTCTATTTATATCCTTAATTTTATATGTGTATAGATATATCTGGCTTATACTCTAAAACCGGCCAAGTACTGAAAAAATGTTAAGCTGGTGAAAGTTTTTACTTCTTACACTATAAACATTTAAAGAAAAAGACAATTCAAATAACTGCAGGAAAAGATATTGTAGTTTGAATATTTAAACAATAAAATGGCTAGTGACTTACTTAAACTGCCTTTTATTATTACAAGTGTCTCTCCCAAGGATATGGTAAAAATTCTGTATTCACTAATTCAGGTGGAAAGACCAATCTCAATTTTTTAAATCATGCAATAATACCAAGTATATATGTATTTTTCTTTAATTATCTATTAAATGCCTATTCTGGGTATTACACAAAACCACTACAAGGTTACACTGTATGAGATGCTTTTGAGTACCTGCTACAACAGAAATGTTTTGCAATTAATATTTTTACTTAAACGTGCTGTGAAGTTGGTTTCTAAGAAAGGGGAACATCAGAACTTAATATGACTTATATGATTAGCTCACCAAGGTCTCTCCCCACAGAGGTGCTCTATCATCCCATCTTGCCCATCTTCTCATCTTGCCTATCTTCTCTCAAGACAGGTCCCATCCCTCCCCCTCATCCACCTCTGCATCCCACCTCCCTTCAAACTTACACTGATCCTGTCTGAAACTGTTTACAACCAGTTGAACTGAAAAAGGTGTTAACTGGTTGGAAAAATACACTCCACTACATCTTTTGAGTCTAACAATTTTATAGCCCATGTAAAAGGAATAAAAGGACTATGTGTAAGAGAGGCAGAACTGGAATTGCCTTTGCTACTACATAAAAATTTGATAAGATGGAGTTTAAGAAGACAACCTCCCTCCTCCCCCCCAGCTTTCATAAAAAGCTGCAAATATGATTCAACCACGTAACAAGAATTTTAAATACCAACAATGGGTTTAACTTAACATGATCTTTCCCCAGTAAATAGAGTACCAATTCTCAGAAGTACCACCCGTTGGAAAAGTAAGCTTTAATGAAAACCCAACTTCTAGTCACTAGCCCTTTTAATAAAGTTTTTTTTTTCTTTTACAGGACAAATTTTTGAGGAATCTGAGGTAATCAGGGAAGAGCAACAAGAGAACAGAAATCAGACCTTTAAGTTACTATCACTAATTTTTATAAGTAAACAATAAGGATAGGAGTTAAGTGAGATAGAGTAAAGAAGTATTTTTAAAAAGATGTATTACAATCCAGCTTCAGCAGGCATGCCAAGATTTCAAAAATGCTAGCCCATTTATAACTTTTAGTGCAACAAATGTGATGTTATTCTTCAGTGGATAACTTAGTTTGAAATGATGAGAAAAGTAGTATGAATAAAAGGCAGAATATGATTCAATATTGAGGAAAGAAGTCAACATACTATGGTCTGTATATAAAAATATGCTTTAAGTCACAAATGGAAGCACACAAATAAAATGAAAATATGACATTCTTTGTGCATCCCTTTGGTCTCTTCCAGCTGATTATAGAGAAAAATAAATACATATTAATTTTGATCCAAGTCAGTTTTAATACATTCCAAAAGAGGTGAATGTTTATGCATTGCAATAATAACCACATTTCATTTGAACAGTAACGTATTGGGTTGGAATAGCTGCCAATACTAGCTTTGGAAAAGATTATTCTTAAATTATTTCAAAACGGAAGGGGAGAAAAGTACTCCATTTAAATTTATTCATTATGTTTAGTTCAGAAAAACAAAATTTTTTTTAAAGTTCTGAAAAGTTTTAGTATTTCATCAACAGTGATTAAAATTGCCACTTGGATTTTTATGGTAGATAACAAAATTTCTCAATGCACATACAGTGCAATCATTTTTTCCGCAGGCATTCAAATTGAATTTTGCACATAAGTTTTGTAGTGTTTCTTATTTCATTTGCAGTTCTCTGCAAAGCAAAAGGATATTGCC